TCTTTCGTGTGCATCTTTGTTTTTCTCTTTGTTTTTGTTTTTGTTTTCTTTTTTTCCTTTTTCTCTCTTTTCGTGGCTACGTGTGGTTGTTCTGTTTTGGTGTGCAGGAATTATGAACTTCAACCATGCTTTTTCCTATCTGCATACCCAATCTTGGGTTAGCGAGCCGAGCTATCATGCCGGGTACCATGACCAGTCATACTCATACTCTTCCGAGCAGTACTGGGATCCCTATCCAGTCGAGCAGTCTTACGAGTCCCATGTGTTTAACGAGAAGCTCGACCAAATTCTTACCTTTATAGCAGCTCGAGAAGAAGAAGACGCATTCAACGCTAAGTTTGATCTCATCCTCGATCGAATGAGGGCCCAAGAAAGCCGAAAAGCAGAGATTGAGCTCAGATGTGCCCGTTTGAGCGAGAAATTGGAGAGTCTAGCGAGGCGCATCGACTCTATCGAGTCACGAGCCAATAAGCCCATGGTTGTGGACCCACATCCGGAACCCGTACCTTTTGATAAGCTTGAGGATGACTCTTCGAGATACAATGCCAAACTTGATCTCATCCGGGATCATATGATGGCCCAAGCAAACCTAGAAGGGGAGATTGAGCTCGGGTGTGCTCGACTGAGTGCTCAAATGGAAAATCTAACAGCACGTCTCGACTCTTTCGAGTTGAAAGTCGACGACTCCCATCTTATAGTAGGTGCCCAAGCATGCATTCCGATACACATGTGTGAGACCGAAGAGGAAGATGATGCACTCCAGCGAGACGATGATATTTTGGAGGAAGAGATTCGTGGACTTGACCAAAAATTCCACGTCACCATTTCTCAAGTCCCTCCTCCCGCCACCGAATTGGAGCATTCACCTTCGGAGCCATTACACTGTGCTACCAAGTGGGCCGGATTTAGCTCGACTTGTTCCACGGATGTTCTCATAATCTCTGAGGATGACGATAGAGCTTGGGTGGGAAAAGTTCTATGTAAATTACTGGGGATTGCTCGTGCCCACACCGGTTTCATTCAGAACATAGCCGCCCGGATCCACCATTCCCGCCTTCTTGCCACACTTTCCATGCTACCACTACTGTTGGAGAATACGAAGGTGTGGCATGATCGACACTTTTTCTTGGACCCCGGTTAATTTCGGTTCAGGTTTCGTCAAGCTAATGACGTTAAACAAGCGCTTCTTGGGAGGCAACCCAAGTGATTTATTGCTTTCTTAGATATTTTTCTTTACGCTTTTAGTTTTATCTTTAATTAATGGGAGTTTTGGAGTCTATGTTTTTCTGATTGGCAGGTATGAGTTCGCGAGGCTGAGCATAAGTGAGCAGCTCACATGGGAATGCCTACTCTACTTGATGCGTCTTCGGTTTGCACACATTTTCTCTTTTTGGTCTTTTTG